ATCCCTGTCAGCAAGTGAATTCACAAATTATGTTGGATAATTAACTCCCTAGGTAGGTTCTAAATAAGTGTCGACGGATGTGTACGTGACTGTCTCCTTTGAATCATAGACTGGATAATATGGTTAAGATCATACAGATCTTTGTTCATGGCCGCAAGAATAGCTCGTCGGTTCAGCCATTCGGGATTAATAGAATTGATTTAAGTATTGGGAAACACCATTTCCACCAATTCTTCTTTTCAAGACACTAAACTGCGAAGATAATAGGTAGTGAAATGCGTCCTGAAGTCGACTCAACCGGCACCGATCCACTCCCAATTCCCCAAATACCTCAGCTGATCGGTCGACTTGCATTTGAACACGCATACTTGCAGTTTGCTTTACCGCCTGAACGTGGCGTAACAACGCAGAGTATTTCAGGCAGACATTTATTTCGTCCGCTGTTGTTGATAGAGGAATTGCAGGCAGTGTTTGCCTGAAGTCTCCTGAAAGCAGTGGCAATATATCTCCAAAACGGTCTCGTGTTTCTGCGCAGATCTTGCAACGTTCGAGCCCCTTTATGTGCGCCATTGTGCGTTCAACCCAAACAATAAGTTTACATTTCCACAGTACTTTATCGATGCCGGATGCCTTGGAAATGTTGCGCGTGGGAGCTTCAATAAATTTTACGTTGAACGACCATTTTAAACCGGAATAAGCAGTTCTCCCATCAGGTAGCAAGTTCGCAGCTACTCTGGACGACGCAAGAGCTAAGCCTATGTCATTTTTGGATCGAATTGCCGCCAGAATCTGCTTTATTAGGAAAGTTTTGACAGTTCCACCTAGCTAATCGAAGAAGATTTCCAACCCCGTTATTAACAGCCCACATTAGTTGATCGTAAATGCCGTTCTACTCCAGTGTTTACTTAGGAATGTTCGATTGCACATACGACAGAAGATCCACCGTGCTGTAGTTTCGCTCACGGCGCAAATGCACATCCAACGAAGCAGCAGCAGATCAGTTTGCTGATAGCATTCCCAGTTGATTGAGAACTTTCCTTGTGATTTCTACTCGCATATCCTCAATCATTCTTAACCCCGTGTTATCGATTTCAGCTGTGAAATTTGCATTTGAATTGTTCTTACGTAGTCGACGGAAGATCTCCTCAACCATGTGCGATTCATATTCCTCTTATAATTATGTTGGAGATAAAGGAGAGCAGACGGTCAATAAGAATGCAAACTATGCACGAATTTCGTGTGGATGGGACTTTTTGCACGAGTCATTAATTTATGCATCCCAGCATCGGTCGTTTTCCAAAAAAATTTACAGTCTGACATACATTACGTAAAGTGGCATGTGTATCACCGTCGTCAATTCTCAATTGGTGGAAAGACATTGGACTGGGCACATTTACCAACAACGTGCTAAGAAAGAAATATTCCTCCTGATTGGGATGCAGAGTGTATAGTCTGCCTATCGCAGTCCCTTTGATGATGGTCGAAGCGGTCTCCATATTCGCGTCGTTGGAAAGATTTTCTACACGCATTCCATGTATAATGCGTAGGCACCTTCGATTACATCAGTGTTTTCGTAAACGCGGGGAGAGAATGTGTTAAGCGCATCCAGTCGCGCCCGAGAATCACAGAAGAAACGGTGACAACCCAATCAATGCAGGTTGTGGGGCAAGTTAAAATGGCGTTTTAAAATTGCTGGTTTTTTTTACCACAGGGGTGGTTAGCTTAGCGGCCCACGGGGAGGGTACGTTTAGGTGTCTGCAGTGGGGGGGGGGTGAGCGCGTCCGTCGATCAAGTGGCCGCAGCCAAAGGCGTTGTTATGCAAGAAAAACATGTTTTTTTACCCGTCACATACGTGCTAGCTGCATAATTATGAAGATAGGCATATATATATAAACCCGCCTCTATGCGTATGCAAGGCTGTATCAAACTCTCTGAGCATACATGACAAAACTTACCGTGATTACCGATTAAGAACAACCCCACATTTCCATTTTTATTTACTCCCCTGCATCAAAAGGAGACGATTGCGATTTAGTTGAAGGATTACAAAACTGCAGATTTCCGTGTGATTTTGAGACCAACAAACGCTCCTTCGAAGTCTGCCGTCAGCTCTTTTGATTAGATAGGCGTCTACGAAGTGGAGCGAAGTTATCGTTTCCATCCCTGACGCAAACATAAAAGACGAACGTGTCAGATTTAAAGCATTTAAGAGGTTAGCTATATTTGTTTTTGTAGTCATGACCGCGATGACATCATACATGTAGCGGCCGTAGTAACTTAATTTGTTGTCCTGACCGTGTGACTGCCCATGGAGAGAGAGAGAGGAGTGCGCTTTATTTTGAAATCACATGTTCAAAATTTTCAGCAAATTTTTCAGACATCGGCAAAAGGAGGCCTACATTATGGCCGGTGACTTACAATGTCAATGGCACGATGCAAGCATGCATCAGCTAAATCGAGTGGAAATTCGAACAATCGAAACGCTGGTTTTGTGTTTTGACTGTGATCGAGCATCGACGATTTCTTATATTGCACAACTTAAAAAGATTGTTTGGACTGACAAAAACATTAACACCTCTGGCAATGCTAATCTGAAAATAAATTATCATGCGGTGTGAAGCGGACAGGATACAAGCCTAACAAAGTCTTGGTGGCAGGGAATCCGATTTCCAATTCTGGCGAGCTACACTTTGCCTAAATTATTTTGTTGATCAATCCACAGTCCCAAACTTATGCAGAAATTGTTCGCCCACCGTGACCAACGTAAGCTGCGTGCACAAGATTAATTATACGGCTTCGAAAATGCACGGAGAGCTTAAGGGGATGACGCCGAAAGGATTGCAGTGTTGCCCAGATACATTTTAATTAGATCCAACTGTGCGCGGAAAATCAGGTAGGGACTAAAATATTGTGAGGTTTGATGGTGCTGACCGCAGCCTACATGCAGCTGGATGTCTGGAAATGAGATGGAGCCAAAAGTGCAGCGGTGGAGTGAAGTGAAACGATGAAAATAAGAGGTTTAAGCAGCAAGCGTGAACTACGGCTTTACCGCTGTCGCATTGGATAAGCTATCGTTCGAACATCACGCAGGCTGCGCTTTAATTTGCATGCTGTTAGGAGCGTTCCGTTGTATCCAGTCATGAGGTATGGGAATTGAAACGGTTAAAACAACAGCGGTAAAAGTTCACTAAGACGTTTGCTAGATAAGGGCGACGCTGGGATATACAACTAACCCAAACACGATGTTAGCAGGCGTTGGTTGTTTGAATAGCGCATGCTGTTTCTTCGGCAATTGTTGACTAGGTAGACGTAAAAATCGATCAATTTTGAGATAAATTCTCGCACATTTAATCAAAACGAACCACCAAGCTGACGCTAAAGAAGCCTTTAAAGTTATCTATCGGGCACCGGCACACTACTTCAAAGGCCTGTACAAACGGGTGCTAGCCACAGTCGAAACAGTGGCCCCTCGACTAGCGAACACAGCACACTGTTGTCAAAAGACGCTGACACAAGCAGTCTGTCTGCCCTGGCCGACTCCAGGCGGTGATCGCTCGCCGTACCGACGCCCTGAGAGTAGTCACACGCACTTGCAGCCCTTAAAATCTAACCGAAACCCTTCTTCTTCCCCCCCCCTCCCACCCAAACTCCACCGTCCTTGACACGCTGACTTCGTCATGCGGGCGGCGTGGGAACATGGAGTCCGATTAACCCTGCCCCAGGGACGCATCTATATCCTGTCTACCATTAGAATGATCACTACCCATGTAATTGCATTGATCTGATGATGAGTTGCCGAAAACGCATGTTCGCCCACTGATGACCGGCCGTTCATAATTGTGATGGCCTTACCTGCGCTCCCAATGATCTATCAAGACTACACACAGATACTTCAGGGCTCTATTCCAGTTGATTCATTTTGATGTTTGAAGTTGCAAGCTGACCAGCGGATAAACTGGAAGACGCAGCCAAAAACGGATGGCCAGCACGCAACAGCAGTAAAATGGAAGTCAGTCAGTTTTCATGTCACGGCAGACTGCAGCCACAGCGTGTCGCGCGATCAGCTTGAATCACGGTTTTCCGATCTCCAGTTTGTAAAGCAAATGCTTACGAAGGGCATTTCCTATTCATAAGTGAAGAAGAAGATTCGAGCACCGGAACACTTTGTTTATTGTCCTGAGCTTTCAGACTCGTACAGGGGTCCATCGTCAGAGGTAGTGGCAGCAACAGAACAAGCGGCAGTTAGTTGGCATGTAGGCCAATCATCGACGGACAGCGCAAGACTGAAGATGACTACGCGAGGATCTGTACACCGGCGCTAGATCAATAAATCGATTGATCGAATTCTCATCTGAGGCCCTGGCTTCAATCAATCGTCAGTCTGGTTTTGCATGGGAAGATCATTACACTTTTTAATTGATTGGGTGCCAGTAAACCATGACTTAAGCAGCTCCCGGCTCACGCGTTTGTCACATTTTTGCGAGAATTTTGGCCTCTCAACTTTTAGTGAGATCAAATGAGCCAAATGAGATCAAATGAGAGTCAAATGAGCCGCAACTTGAGAGCTGGCGTGATTTCTGCGCACCGCTGCCGCGTGTTCAGCCATTCTCGTTCAAAGCTATCTTCCGGTTTCTCCGACGTAGTTGCTTTGTCCGCAACTGCACCAGGTCCGATAAACTACTCCAGACGTTTCTCGCGTGGCACTGTGGTCTTTTGGTTTTATTAACGGACGCCTGATGGTCACCTCCGGTCTATGTGTAACGCCAAGCCCAAGTGGTGCGAGAAGGCGGCCAACAGCTTCCGAAACGTTCTTGACATACGGAAGCGCCCGCCAAGATTTGGTGTCCGTGCGTTAGGCCTTTCGTTTCTTTTGCTTATGTACCGGCAGACGAAGTTGCGCGGGTAACCATTAGCGTTAAAGACCCTACGGAGATATTGTAGTTCAGCAATCTTTGTCTTCCTGCTCACTGCAGTGTGTTTCGACGCATCGATAGAGCGTCCTAACACAACTGCGTTTGTGGCTGATTGGGTGGTTGCGGTTGAAGTTCAGTACTTGCATCGTATTTGTCGCTTTCCTGAACAATGGTCTTTAGTCCACCGCAATCCTTGCGGCATACGAGGACATCCAGGAAGGCCAGCTGGTTGTTCTCTTCCTCCTCCATCGTAAATTGTATGTCCGGGAAGACCGCATTCAGACGTTCCTTGAATGTCAGCAGTTGATCGCGCTCAATGACGACGAAGGTATCATCCACATAGCGAGCCCACAACGTCGGTCTGTGGTGTTGGAAGACCAGCGACTCTAACCGTTGCAGGACCGCCTCGGCGATGAATCCCGAAATCGGCGAACCCATTGGTGTGCCCTTCACCTGTTCGTAGATTGTCACTTCGAACGCGAAGTACGTCCAAAAGCGGAACTTCTTAACGGACGTAATTTGATGAGGACAAAGCTCTTGCAAGAAGGGACAAATGCGTGAGCGGGGAGCTGCTTGAGTCATGGTTTACTGGGGCCCAGTCAATTAACAAGTGCAATGATCTTCCAATTCCATACTTGGAATTAATTAGCCGGAGTAATTAGCCACGCGAGGAGCGCACAGGTGAACACTTTACCCAACACCAGTGTCAACGCGTCAGATGGTTGAGCAATCATCACACCAGCATCCAACGTACGTGATGAAATTGCAGCAATTAACAGCGCGAATGTCGGCCATCAAACCACGTGCAACGATCTCTGGTGAAGGGGGGAGGCGTGAATGTTCATAGGTATGCGGTAGCATGGTTACTTCATCCTAAAAATACTGCAGACCCTTGGGCATGAACCACTCGTATCTACTTTGTCTCGGATGATGGGTTCGAGCAGGAATCCGAACCGTTAGGCTAATAAAGCTCTTGTCTCAGCGATCGTGTCTCCTTCTTCAAGACTGCTTCCTGGGCCTCGTCTCTTCGCTTCTATTGGTAGGACATAACGCAAGAATTTGGATAAGCCAATGTACAGCTGCTCTATCCGGTTCTTCATTCGTCTGTTTAGTCGTACAAAACCAGAACAGAAGCATTTGATGAGGTTTTAATGACCCATTAAATGGGCCCCGTATGTATTTTCTTTGATCATGTGAGTAGAAATTACAGTCCACTTGATTTCGGGGTCTTCTGCAGAGATTGATATCAAGCGATTTTGTTTTCGTCCCCAATTGCTATCTATTCCTCACACTAGTGATCTCACCCAAAGCATAATGTAGTGAGTCAAAAGTTCGGGGAGTTTTAAGTTCGTAAGACCTTCTGTTTCAACTAATTGACATAATTCCCTTTTATATACCTGTGAAAAACCTGGCGCCTCTAACCAGTTGGGTCAAAGTGAATTAGTTTAAATCTGCGAAAACACCTCTGAATTACATGAGCCTGGTAATCATCTGGTGGATTGTATATGTATTACCTACGAAATCCTTCTTGGGAAGCCAGCTTGCTGTATCATATTAAGTGAATTCCAGACGTTGTAGTATGTTGAGCGGGTAACCTTGACCCACATGTGATTAAACTCGCGTCGTCCGGCGGGGCCTCGTTACTCAGATGCTTAGAGCGTCGGCCGTAATAAAGCCTTTCCCAAATGTTCTGGGTTCGAATCCCACCAACGCGCGGAGTTTTCCACAGTTGGGTCAAAGTGAATTATTTTAAATATGCCAAAACGAGCCTTATTGACATAAGCTTTGTTTACAAACTGAACTGTGAATATGACTAATCTATTTTTGCACGATTTCTAGAGTTCCGTAACACCTGTTTCTCAACTACGTTGCGATCATCTCGTATATGTAGCCCTGAGACAATTTGCAGCTGAATACAGGCGATGGCGCAACCATATTACAATCTAAGATATTGTAAAATATTTTAATCATTAACTTTTCGAGCGATGACACAAAAATTAAAGAGGCTAAATTGCTTGGCGAGGTTCTTACAAAACTTAAACTCGAATGTTTCGAAAAGTAAGCCTTTGAATCGACCATTTGTTCACTAAGCCTATTAAAGTAGGTTTGCAAATTTTCAGTCAGTGAGACTGGGGAAAACCCCTCATCTTCAATCGGCTAATGTTGGTGGAAAGTATATTATTTCTCTGGCTCAAGTGTTGCTGGCTGGCTTAAAGCCAGTGACTAACATGCTAATAACACTAGATATTTCCCAACAAGGTTCTAGAATCTTTAAAACTGGTAATTATACATGAGGGAGAGAAAGCATTAACTTTTAGGCCGACAGCGTCAATCTCAACCGAATAAAAATCCGCAGTTATATACCGTAGATCTGCTTCCTCATGAAATATTGACCAAAATTAAGCAATAAATGACAGATTTGAAAAGATTGATTTATCGATGTTGTTATATGAATAATCATGGAAGACAATCTGAGGGTATTCCAGTCGCGCGCGGGATACCGTCATTTGGATGAATTTCTTTTCGACCGTTTACAAAAACAGCACTTGTTAAATTGTGGTTACTTTAACAGTATAATTTTTTTCGATGATTATCGACCTCTTGTAAGTTCGGTTACATAAAAATATCTTCTTTTGTGCTTCTGCAGAGACAGCTGCGACTTCTTTCAAAGTTATATTTAAGGAGAGTCAATTTTTGAAATTTTGAAATTTTTAATCTCAAATTCTTTTTGCTCATCTTCCTTTACAAATGCATTCGAGGTTTCCAACCTAAATGCTGTACGCGATTAATTAAAGGATATTCACATACTTATCTTCACCGTTAGAAATATGTCATATTCGACTCATAGTACCGTGCAACATATGTGCACCAGGTAGCATATATTAAAATGAGCCTCAAAAACCGTGCCACTGCGATGCTACGTGACTAGAAATCTTACGGTCTTAAACATGTTTAGATTACAAATTTTATTAAGACCGACGATGTCTTCTAACGTACGAACTTTGGCAAAGAAGCGATTCGCTGTCCAACGAACACAGGCTGTTTGTGTGCATTGAAAAGTAATGGAAAAAGTTCATGCTAATTAAGTAACCATTTTTTAAAACGTATACTTTTTGCGACGGATGAAAGGAAGCCCCTTCAAAGGCCGACACACTGTTGCAATTTAAATATCTTATGGTATGCTGAACGATAATCCGCACACCCGTCCACAGATTGAAAAACATTGCTGTCATCTAAAACCGATTTTGATCTAGTCCCGGCTTGTCTTGCCTTTTCTGTGCACGAATATCTTGACGGCTATAAACTAAATTTATGTTTCGTTTCAAAGATGCGTGCGTTCACATGTGATAACTCGTCGCTCCGTCGCTCAGCTAACCTATGTTCGTGTACAGTAGGTAACCTGATTCATTGAAGTTGTTGAAATTTACGAATGATTGTCAATAACTTACGAACCGACACCATGGACAGAATGCCTTTGTTAACTAAGTACAACTTTAAAAGAATCAATAAGATAAAAGCAATACGTAGGGCAGCGTCGTGTTAATCTGACATGCCAATTTTTAGAGAGGCGCAAAGTCCAGAAAAAGTCCAAAATTGTCGTAATTTAGTCCACATCGTTTTCCGATTTACTGGTTGGCTTATCATGGAAAAAAATGACTATATAATAAGACAAATAAACCAGCGTTTAGAAATAGTGTTTCAATGAAGATTTCGCCTAAACTTCCTAAAGAAATCCGTTCAATTTCAGGTATGCTGGTTCGCAAACAGCCCATATTCTAGGTATAGATCGCAAAATAGTTTCCGAAGGTTCGTGGTATCTTCCACGCCTTTGAACTGATTCCTATGTTGTCCAATAAGTGAACCAGGATTTTGCTTGATTTTACCGATGCAGACGTCATAGAAACAGAAATCTTCTAAGTTTATATGTTGCCGGGCCAATCGATGTCTAGTAAATCCAAATAAAATTGGTATGTGCGGTCTTAAACACATTATTTTTTTTGCTTACAAATAGACCTTTTCCCTCCTTAAAACTAATTTATACTTTCCATCTGTTGTAGATAACGATGAAGTTCCTATCGACCGTAAAATATTTCCGGATACTTCATGATTTTCAGGATTGTCATTTGGTCATTCATAAAGACAGATGCTATCTTGTGTCTGCCAAAACCTTAAAATAAGTTACTTCTGAGAAGCATTTATCGTAGTAGTGAGCGTTTTGGCGTTCTTTTTCATGTAGATGGTCGTTTAGGTCACATGTGAACACTTATTTAAACAAAAGACCTCAGTGTCCACTATTACTGCCAGAAAAAAATATTCCATCGGTCAAGTAGTAGGCTTTTCCTATTAAGTAAGCTCACTGTGGTGAGTTCTACTACTGCGCTCCCTTGAGCAATTGCTGTGTACTTTACTTTGCATTTTCGCACGATGAGGCCAAGAAAAAATATGAAACCTTTGACCGCTTTTTTCACTTCTTAAACAATACTAGTATTTTCCTGCCGTAAACGTGCTTTACCTTTTATATTGCGGACATTTGCACTGTTTATGCCCGATTTTAGATTCCATTCCACGACTGGAAAAGCCCTTAAAAATATTGATAGTTTTCTGAAACTTTTGATGTCTTCCTTATTCTTTTTCTGAATAAGGTATGAGCAGAAGCTTACCTGCGGAAAAATAAAGTGTCTCATATGTTTAAAATTGAAAATGAGTGGTCGGTGTAGTTGTTTCTATGGCAAAACGTTGTATTTTCTTAACGGGAAAATAATTTCAATTCATTAAAACAATAAATCGCCTGTACATGTAATTGCTGAACTTAAGGGCATAAAGTCGTTCCGATCTGCCAATATGACTTCTTAAAATGAATAAATTATCTGATTATCATAAAATTCATTTTTGTTGTCAAGCTGATTCCCACGGTTAGCATCAGTCAGAAGACAATTTTCAAGCGCAGCAACATCTGTTCGTTAGAAACTTTGAGAGCAAACTCTACTCTTTTCGTTTAAAAACATGCTTGGATATCCCACCAAAGTGTAGGACAGTGTATTAAAATAGAACATTGACCAAATATACCGCAAAGGTCTTTGTCACTCAAAGTTATGAACGATTTTTTTTTTAAAAATTACGTGCATACAGTTTCTGCATAAGGAAATGACATTTTAGTGAAGAGGCTGGATGGACATGAAAAATTCGTAACATTAAAGACGGCCAAAATTATCGCATCATTTGCCGCTGTCAAGTTTAGTGAGAGAGGTCACTTAGTGCATGTGTGATCTAAACAGGCGTTTTGTCTGACCTGCGTGGTTGAGTTTTTCATTCAAAGCAAGACATAAGTGGCCAGCAAAATACTATTTTAAATCACTGTGGTAATTGTTGTGTCTGAGTTAACTTTCATTCCAGCAAGGTTTAAATTCAATGGGCTGTTTCATTAACTTTCGAGACAACTTATTTTAAATTTAGTCTTACTATCTACGCAGCCAAGATTATTGAGAGCGTTCATAGTAAAAGCTAGAAAATAGTGACAGGCCAGCTAGGTTGTATGTACAAGGACATTATCAGACCCAGTTATCTGCTGTTTAGAATTTGTCAAACTGTCAAGTTTTATTTGATATTTATCACTGAATTATGTCAAATTTTAAGATTCATTGATTTGCCTTCCTCACTCCACTGATTATTGCTACTGTAATATTTTTTACTTCTGGAGAAATTGTCCGCAAATTCAATCTGTTACACATATATGCTTACTAGGTTGGTTGTTCCAGAAAACACTAGCGAAAGCAGTAAATATGATTTTTCGTTTGGATTCAGCTGCCACGGTAATGTAGTGTTACCACTTAGCTTCTGACACTTAGTGCAGGTCTTTGAGGTTTTTTTTAGAAACTTCATTATATGGGTTTTAGTAACTCGCATACTACCAGTTTGAAAGTTGAGTTCTGATACAGTTATAAATAAGAACAAACTGGTAATTAATCACATATACTAGTTGTCTTTTTAGCTTGCTGGGTTTGTAAAAGACTCATCCCTTTCAAACCTGGCAGTCTAAAACGAATTTGTACTTTGGATCATGGGATTTTAAGTCCGTAAAATACCTGTCAAAATAGCATTGCATATGAAATAGCTGATTCAGCTTATGAATTCTTCACCGAAATTAGGAAATGTATTTTTGATCGAAAATTGATTCTTGAGTGGAGTTATTTGTTAACAGGCTTGTGCTAAAATCCCAAAATAGTTCAGTAATATAAGGGAATCTCTTTAAAGCGGTCTGCTAAATGATATGACGTTTTTTCACTGAGCTTTAATTTCCTCTTATATCCAAGTATATTATATATATATAGATGAGATGATGAGCGCCCATCTGTCATCATATATATATATTTTCTCCCTTTCCCAAAGAACGTTTTTGATTTCAAATATATAATATATATAATGAATGAGCAAAACGATATTCTCTCATGCTTATTTTTAGTAGCAAATTGCGTCTTCTGCAAATAATCTTTTTAACGAGAAAATATCTTTCAGTTTCTAAATTTTTTAAAAATTTTCGTGGAATGTTTGCTCCATCCACCTTCTCCCTTTCATTCAGAGTCTTCCAGCAACATGTTCCACACATCACGTCAAAGGAATATCACATAGTTCTTAAGATCGTTAAAAAGCCATAATATGTGACTCAAAAATGTGTGACAGATTTGGATTATCTTGTATGCTTTTTAAGGAGCATTAATAAGGTATAAGACGAGATCCGGTGTGGATGGACGTTTCGTGATTCCAAAATCTCTTCTAAACAGACAATTTTTTGAAACTAAAGAAAACTTTTCTTTCAAGTAAAAAAACTTGAAGGATGTTATCTGCTATCAAATAAGTGCAAGAAAAATTGTATTGTAAAGGCTTTTTGTAAAATATATTCGAATAAGTAAAGTCCTCAAAAACCAATGTGAAACACTTATGCATTTTTTTCTCAAGAACTGGATTTTTGCCTTCATTCAAATGTCAGAATCATGGAGTGACTGATTTATCTTTGAATTATGTTGCACGATTTTTAACATTGGTGTTCTACGTAAGCACTTTTTTCGAGTCGAAAACATATTTCGGAATTTCTACTTACGTTATGGGGTAGCACATCAATTGTAGATCCTTGTATTAATTAAATAGTCAGAGAAATGTACGATTCCATTTAAAAAAAACGTTTAGAGCTAGGGCACTGTGGAATCAAACGCATGCTGAACGGCCGATCGGATCCAACATTATAAGGGCTAGAATAAACCTTTTAAAACTGAAAGGTAAATTTTGTGACAATAAAACAATTGAAGCAGCAGTAAGCCGCCAAAAAATTGGAAAAATTATAGTATTGTTTACATATGTTTTCTGAAAAACACACTTGTATTTATAAGGAACTCTAGAGTGAAAAAGGGAAAACGGGGGAACTTAAAAGTCGGCACCGGGGTGATACTAAATTATACTTAGATTGTGCCGCATAATACTCCGTATTGCATCCTTTCTTTGACAATGCTTCTTTATCCGAAGAGCCGTTTCACAAGTTAAGTTAATTTTCTCAAAGGTATGCCAATTCCTGTAATTTGATTAAGCTGCGCAGCCTTTTACATTTCTTTATCGTAAACCAGATGATTAATTTACTTTCAAGTTGCGGTAATTTTGGCTTACGCTAACGGGAGCAGCGTAATTCGGCTGAAACAAGACCTTAGATCTTGGATACTGCCCTCAATCCCTACGGATTCTGTCAGAGGTCGTCCGCAAGAGAAGGTGCCTGGCATAAGATGACCTCCTTTGCCCTCGCCTCCCGCTGGTCACCACACCAGATTCGTGAGTTTACCAAGTGATTTTCAGGTGCGACGAATGGCTGATCTTGAAGACCCACGGACGCCTGACCCGATGAGGACGTGGAAGTTAATCATTTTTTGTCCCGCAACAAACCCACCAAGAGCGCGAAAATTTAAGATTATTTAAAAAAGAAAAACAAATCCGGCCTAGCTCGCCTGATGTACTTACGTCAGTTCACACTATTACAGTACCTGTGCTAACTCATGAAATGTCATGAATTAACACAGGTTAACGACTTAAACGCAGAATCGGTAAACACTACGGCTCCCAAAGTTTGATAGCGGAAAATAAAAGATGTGTCAAAGAAATAAAGCAAAGTTTGGTTAAGAAAATATTATTTACTGAGATAAAAATAAATGATTTTCGATAAAAGTCACATTTTCGAGAAACGCCTATATTACAACCTAGTTAATAAAGGCTACGTATGAGGGCGTATAAAGGTGGAGGGCGCATAAAAAGGCAAAAATAATTAAGGACAGAAACAGATACAAAAAACCAGTACTTTGTTGATTGTCCATTTGAATTAATAACGGCAGAAAGTCTGTCAGACATAGACATGACGAGGTTATCTATGGTGGATTGTGAAATGTAATTATTGAGTATGAAATCCAACTTTTCCTGCATTGAAAGAGTCTTCTTAGCTTTGTGCCAATTTCTTTTGACTATTCCAAAAAGATTTTCGATAGGATTCAAATCGGGACTGTTGGCCGGGATGAAAATGGATTGGAGACCGATGGCGGAGAGGGTGGTTGTTGTCTAAAATGTTAGATTATATTTGCAAGCGGCATCAAATTCGTACCTCTTTAGAGCGGTGGACAGGTGCATTGTCCTGCAAAATTACAGTATCCATTCGGCGCCGACTTATGCCGTTGTAGCCGAAAGCATCCTTGACAATTGCAATAAACACCTTGCTGTTGATGGTGTCGGATATTGACCGCCAGACAGGCCGCTCACCGAATTTAACTGCCATCCAAACCATCATCCGCCGACAGTTCTTGAATGTTGCCGTCGGTGTAGTGTGTTCTCTTGGGAAGTTCTTTCCATATATGACGGTTTGGAGCGATTTCGTAGGCTTGTCTAAAATAGAACCTCATCGCAGAAGAAAATGCTCTTCCAAAATGAAGATCTGTAATCAGTATAATTTTTAGCAAATAAAAGCCGTTCTCTAATTAGTTTTCTACTTAAATATGGCTTAATCATGGCCTTCCGCCGCTGCAGTTCAAATTCCTTCATCCTTTTCCTAATGATGTTCATAGAAAACATCGGCAGATGTTCCCGTTGAATGGTCTCAATGGGCATGTAATGAAACTTTTTTAATGTACGACGAATAAAATCGTCGTCTTGCTTACTTGTGGACCGTTTGGGTCCCCCTATCTTATTTCTAGGAACAGTTTTATCATTAATAATGCGCCACAGAGTGACCTTGCTAATATTGAAAATACTAACTAACGACTCACGCGGGATTCCCTCCGCCGCTAATTTTCGAATGCGCTGGAAGTCAACTTCGGATAAGTATTGCTTAGACATAGGTATCGTTTGGCGTGGCAGAGAAAAGTGACGGCATGTCGCGCGAACTCAATATATATTCGTTTACGACACGCATTTTCAGTCTGGTAAAACAATCACACTGATAAACTTTTTTATTTCGGTATTTTGAAACATAAAACTTTACGAATTTGTAAAATAGAATTTTTAGATGAGGAATCTCACGTTATTTCCTGAATACAATAAGAAATAATTTATTTGCATTTCCCTGATTTTCTTGATATTGAAATTTAATTTTTTCTTTTTGTTCGAAGGTTTATTGAAAAATTTTGTCCTTTCATTAATCTTCTTAAACAGATTAATAAGGTAACACAAAGAATTTCGATCCGAAAGCTTTAATAGCGTAGGAAAATGCTTGAATATCAGGAATCCTCCGATTTCGCCGAAATGCGGCCCGTTTTCTATTTAATATACAGATCCGTATCAAACTTTCCTTCAGCAAACGGCCTTTTTGTCCTTATTTCGACTAAATAAACACAAATAAGAACACCAAAAATACGCAACATTTTCCACTCTTATTTTGACCTCGACATTTCATGAGTTAGCACAGGTACTGTACAAGCAGTGTCATAAAAGATATATATGTATATAGGCAGAATAACATTACCGACAAAGACAACAGAGACTGAAATGGTCATGTCTGGCTTATCAGCCGTCTTCAGTCAGTCATACCCAACGCCGAAATGGGAAACGCATGGGAACACCTGTGTGTGGCATATATATACATGTATGCAAAAATATTCAAGGTCCAGATTTGTTATAGTTTAATCGCCTCCGAAAAAGTCGAAGAAGACAAGAGAACGAGTTTATTGATCAAATTATTTTCGAACTTTAATTTCAGTAAACTTCTTATTTTCATCATCGAAGTAGTGCAATTGTTGCATCTGGTCGTTTTCAGCTATTTAGCTTTATCACTTAATTCATATTGTGGCTGTACTCTATGCACGAACTTTGATCAAACTCCCGAAAACCTCGCGGCGTTAACAATCAGACGGCGAATTGGGTTACCAGGATGACAGCAAGGACATTCTTGAGAGGTTAATTCAAATGTAAAAAGTTTCGTACTGCAGCAGTCCGGAGGAAAGACCACCTGAGGTCCGTTACTCCGCGATCATTTGTTGCAGAATGGCTATTTGATAGCATTTTAAGTCGCCGCCTACGCAATCGCGCCTCAAGAAGACTTCAACATCAACACTATCAACCTTAGAGCATTTTCTGACATACATCAAGGACGGTTCAGATGCAACCGAGCGTATTGCTGTGGGGTTAGACGTTGGAACTGCACTCCGCACGAAAGCCAACATATGCAGCAGGTTCATAAAAGTTAAAGACCGATTAAATTCTGAGGAGCCATCTTGGTTAATTTATCTCATCTCGCACATAAACTGTCGATGTTACTACACAGCTAGACTGAGCGCATGCTCCGATCGTGCATATACAAGCTGGCTTTGCGAGGAAGCGACGAATTACCGCAAGTGGCCTCCTCCATCATCGAAATGGGTTATGCGTATAACTTCACAGCCATTACGACAATCGCCTACGCCGGAAACAAATGAGGCCGAGTGATGATTAAAATCTGGGCACTGGATGAGGACTGAGTCAATTGATTTGGTGATCTGGCATCGGCGTGCAGTCCTGCGCAGTCGCCTCCGGCCTTGTGCCATAGATCGATGACTAGTTAGCATTCACTATAAGTTTCGTTAGTTCTTGTGCTGTTACGATCTCAAACGACGGATTTCTGTACGAGTGCGAAAGCTCCATACAATAAACACAATGTTCGGGTGATCTACCACCCCTCTTCTTCTTCTTCTTCTTCTTCTTCTTCTTCGTCTTCTTCTTCTTCTCCTTCTTCTTTTTCTTCTTCTTCTCCTTCTTCTTCTTCTTCTTCTTCTTCTTCTTCTTCTTCTTCTCCACTTCTACCAGTGTTCTTACTTTTCAACAAATTAATCTTGTTGGTTTTTTTTTCTGGCGTTATCGGTGTTCCAGACATAGTTCGCTAGATTTGCTGCCACTATTCATGTCAAATTACCTCCAACTGTCACACTGACTTACGTGGCGCATTTGGTTACACATATGCAGCGCAGGCCATTGTGTTATGCCAGTTTGTCGCACTCCCGTAATATACTTAACGGAATTTAAGCCTCGACCTTACTTATAGGACTTGGACAGCCATACTCCAATCCTACGTCGGTTGTGATTATCGGTTAGATACATACAGAGATAACTGTCGTCCTAGTATTCTTATTTTGTCAAACATTGTGATAGGCTGAAATTTATTCTTTACTCCTAATAATCCTTCTTAGATGCCATGTTAAAGCATCGCAATAATGCGTTTGCAAATACCTTGATTTCAGTACATGTTTTTCTTTAGCAATTCCGATGTTTATTCAAGGCCTCCTTCTGCTCATACTGTTAGTGATCAATTTGCTGACAGAGGTTAGTCAAAAACACTCGGTTGACTGTTATGTTGAAAATAGGTGCACTGTTTGTTAGTTGGCGGGGTGCGGCTGCTGGTTGGGCTCAAAAGAGGGCGCTTTAGGCACAAGGGCAAGAGTGAGTTCTGTAGGAACGATCGGTGAGCGCCCCCTACCATTGTATATTCCCGAGCCGATCGAATTCGACAGGACAGCGAGCCCGAGACTCGATGATTAGAGGCGTTAGATATATATCCAAAGGCCCGCGAGACAGAGCTCCAGGTGTTTCGCACTTCGGGGTTTGGTTTGACATGCCTAGCGACGGCTAATAAGCCAGAAATGGCCATTTCAGTCTCCCTTGTCTTTTTCGGTAATAACATACTGTCTATATCATGCGCTGATGTGCGGCTACCTGTTTGATTTGAGCGAGAGCCCAGGACGAGTGAGTTCCGTAGAAGAACGATTGGTGAGAGCACCTCCACCATTGCATATATATGCATATTCCTAATAAGATAAATAGTTGTATACATATAATGAAGTTTCACTCACTGATCACGTTACGCACACTCTCATCCCGCTGTACATTTGGGCTCAATTCGCAACTATCGCACGCAGTCGCATAACGACTACTAACATATGCATATGATGGAGTATCGGCAGACACAATGCGGACCGGAATGACCATTTTTGACTTAGTAACCGACTTCAGCCTCTCTTACCCAATCCTACGTGTGAACCACCTGGGATTCGAATCCAGGATCTCTTGTCATCGTGCCGAACGCTGTGCCAAAGAGCCAAGTGCTCGTTGTCCTTTCGATTGTGATCAGGAACGTTAACGAGACAGGGCATGTCCCGTAACTTAATCAATACGTGCCACTTAATCACAATTACTATAAATAATTAGAACCACCTGGACACTGAGCCCGGGGGTCATTGATAGAGTGTTCGACTCCAAGACCAAAAAACTCGGGTTCGAATCCTAGGTAGTGAACTCTTGGGATTGGTTGTGACGGGCTGATGGTAGCTAATAAGCCAGAAATGACCATTCCTGGCTCTCTTGTCCTTGCCGGCGTTTCATCATGTAAATATGTATATGAACGTCGGTACTGACAAAGTCGAGGGAGTTCGGAATGCCGGTGGTGGCTTATTAACCATCATTGACCGGTCATGCCTAGCCCCGTGTGTGGATCATCTAAGATTCCATCCTAGGATGTTTTGCCGTTGAGCCATGAGCCTGTGGTGAGGTACCTGACTAAACTGGTCCCTTTTTCTTTGACCGCATTGCTTGTTTGCATGTGACGTAAAACGACACAACTGTTCAACCCGCCTTGCTAGCGTGCTCTGCAGTGGTATTCTGTTGTCAGTTTTCTTAACGTTCAAAAACCTCTATATTATTCACTGCTCCGATTTACTTGCTGCATTTAAGGCTAGGGGCTCGTGAGACATAACTCGTTAGTTCGTGAGAACATTACAATTTACGACATTGGTGACCCCGACGTTTGCGCAGACTTTATAGCTTTCCGTCATATTGGATAACATTTAACGTACTATTTGCTTGTGAATATCTATTCCATTTACATTTACTTTCCTCACGAATTCTGATATTATGTCTCACGCCGATCAACAACTTGATGCCCCCGCCCAGACCCTTCATGCAATCAATTTTACCTTGCTTGAATTCTGGCAACACGCTCCAGAACTTTACTTCATCCGCATAGAATCAGCCTTTTATTCTGCCAACGTTACCAAGGAGCTAGCAAAATACCACAAACGTGTGGAGGTTCTCCCTGCCAATATTATCTCACAAGTTCAACCCTTGTTAGTGAAACCCCCTGCAGACGCTCCCTATTCTGCTCTGAAGGCGGAAATCCTTCGTCTCAATGCTGTATCTGACCGACAACGCTACCACCAGTTGATCAAGGAGGAATCACTGGGCGACCGAAAGCCCTCAGAACTTCTCCGACGAATGCGTACTCTCTTAGGAGACATGCAGGTCGACGAGAAACTCGTTAAAGACATGTTTCTAGAGGGGCTGCCTGCAGATGTTCAAACGATTTTGGCATCCGGCTCGCAAGACCTTACACTTTCACATCTTGCTGAAATGGCAGACCGAATGATAGAGGTTCAACGGTTCCAGCCACCTTCCGTTGCTCAGATTTCCACATCCTCTTCAACGGTTAACGAGCAGTTACTGCAACAGATGTCGACTATTGCAAATGAGATAGCCTCCCTAAAACTACAGCTTGCTCGCATTACATGTAGTCGCTCACCCAGCCCTCATCGTTCACGTTCGCGACCTCGCACAGCCAATTTGTGTTGGTATCACGCAAACTTTGCCGCCAAGGCTCGCAAATGTTCTTCCCCTTGTTCCTTTAAACCGAAACAGGGAAACCAACCAGCCAGAAAACAGACGCGACCGTTTTCTCTGGCTCCCCCAGCTCTGGTCGCACCTTTTATGTCCGCGACAATGTGACTCGCAGGCGCTTCCTGGTGGACACCGGAGCCCAGATCAGCGTGGTGCCCCCCACTCCAGTTTACCGCCGCTGTCCCAGCCCTGGTCTACATCTCCAAGCTGCAAACTGTTCCCCCATTTCCATTTTTGGTAGTCGTTCCCTAACGCTAAACATTGGTTTACGTCGATCATTCTCCTGGGTATTTGTGATTGCCGATGTGCCTCATGCGATCCTTGGTTCCGACTTCCTAGCCGAGTTTGATCTCCTTGTTGACTGTCGGCGTTCCTGTCTCCTCGACCGCTCAACTGGTCTTTCTGTCCGCGGTCTTACACCCTTTAATGACTCCTGCAATTTATCTGTTCTGGATACAGGTATTGCTTGCCCATACCGAGACCTGCTCCTCCAACACCCCAACATAATCAAACCCCAGTTTCGCAGGGGTGAGATCCAGCATGACGTTGTCCACCACATTCGCACCTCTGGCCCCCCAGTATTCGCACGGCCTAGACGACTGGCTCCGTCCCGTCTGCAAGCGGCGAAGGCCGGATTTGAGCACATGATGCAACTGGGCATAATTCGCCCGTCCGAGAGTCCATGGGCGTCCCCTCTGCATATGGTGCCCAAGGCAACATCAGACGACTGGCGGCCCTGTGGTGACTATCGCGCCCTCAACAATGCGACCATCCCGGATCGTTATCCCGTCCCTCATCTTCACGATTTTGCTGGAGCTCTTTTCGGCAAATCGGTTTTCTCGAAGACTGACCTTGTTCGGGCCTTCCATCAGATTCCTGTCGCTCCTGAGGATTTTCCCAAAACTGCCGTCACCACACAATTCGGCCTGTTCGAATTTATTCGCATGCCATTTGGTCTTAGCAATGCTGCCCAAACATTTCAGAGGTTCATTGACCGAGTCCTACGTGGTCTCCCGTTTGTGTACGCTTACATCGATGACCTCATGGTGGCCAGTCGAAATGCCGAGGAACACAAAGAACATCTTGCTTTAGTGTTTGACCGCCTCGATCAGTTTGGCGTGGTCATTAACCCTTCCAAGTGTGTTCTGGGTGTGCCGTCCCTTGATTTTTATGGTCACCATGTCGATGCACAAGGTTTGCGTTCCCTCTCTTCCAAGGTTGAGGCTATTCGTGACTTTCCTCCACCAACCTCCAAGCGTCAGCTGCAACGTTTCTTTGGCATGGTAAACTTTTATCGTCGGTTCCTACCGAACTGTGCCGACCTTATGCTGCCACTCACCAGCTTGCTCTCTGGTCCCAAGGGTCCCCTTGAGTTACGTAGCCACGCGCTGACTGCATTTGAGAGAATAAAGACCTCCCTTGCTGATGCTACCTTGCTCACTCATCCTGCTCCAGAAGCCCCATTGTCCCTGATGGTTGATGCTTCGACCGTTGCCGTAAGAGCAGTCCTCCAACAGCATATCAACAACTCGACACGACCGTTGGCATTCTTCTCCAAGAAGCTTTCACCTGCCGAGACGAGATATAGCACGTTTGGCCGTGAACCTCCTGCCATTTACCTAGCCGTAAAACATTTCCGACACTTCCTGGAGGGTCGTGACTTCACCATTTTCACAGACCACAAACCACTTACATTTGCCATCCGATCCCATTCTGACAAATATAACACGAGAGAGATTTCTCATTTGGACTACATCTCGCAATTCACCACCGACATCCGCCACATTGATGGTCCGAAGAATGAGGTGGCTGATATGCTGTCCAGACCCTCTCTGTCTTCCTTCCAACTCTCACACGGGATCGATCTTTGTGCCATGGCGGCTGAGCAGCAGCGAGTTGGTTGTCCTGGCTACGAGTCTGTTAGTGGTCTCCAACTCAAAGACGTTCCTCTAACCACCGGCTCTGGCACCATACTTTGTGACGTCGCAACTCCCTTTCATCGCCCTTTTGTGCCCGCCTCGATGCGTTGAGCTGTATTTCGAACTCTGCATGGACTCTCCCACCCTGGGATCCGAGCCTCTCAAAAGCTCCTCGCGGAAAGGTTTGTCCGGCCTGGCATGAACAAGGACGTCAAAGCTTGGGCACGGTCGTGTCTCAGCTGCCAGCGCAACAAGGTGCAGCGTCACAACAAGTCCTCACCAAGCACTTTCCCCAGTCCCGACGCACGGTTCAGCCATGTGCATCTGGATGTCGTAGGCCCCTTGCCTCCATCCAATGGTTTCACCTACCTCCTTGCCTGTGTCGATCTATATACTCGCTGGGCTGAAGCTATTCCTTTGCCAAATGTTCAGGCTGAAACCATCGTGAAGGCCTTCGTCAGTCGTTGTGTCGCCATGTTCGGTGCCCCATCCACGGTTACGACTGATCGTGGTGCCCAGTTTGAGTCGGCACTCTTCCAAACGCTACTCAATTTTCTTGGCTGCACACGCATTCGGACGACAGCCCACCACCCAGCTGCCAACGGTATGGTTGAGCGTTTCCATCGCCAGCTAAAGACCGCCCTGCGTGCCGTCGAAGACCCAGGAAACTGGTCGGACCACCTTCCTCTTGCACTCCTCGGCATCCGCGCAGCTCTGAAGTCGGATCTGGGCTGTAGCGAAGCCGAATTGGTTTTCGGCACTACCCTCCGACTGCCAGGCGAGATGATCACCCCAACCTCTCGTGGAGCCGACGAGACTCCTGACAATCTTGTGCACCGTTTGCGGCAATTCATGCGCTCGCTTTCCCCGGTTCCACCTAGAACTCCTATGACTGAGTCTTATGTCGGAAAGGACTTGGACAACTGTACTCATGTGTTCATCCGGTGTGACCGTGTGCGCCAGCTGCTGGAATCACCTTACGAAGGACCGTTCCGTGTGCTCGCGCGCAACGCCAAAACCTTCCGGATTCTTCGCAGTGACAAGGAGGACGTTGTCAGTGTCGATCGGGTCAAGGCTGCTGTTGCAGAGGAGCCGCCGGACCGGTCACAAGGACAAACATGTGCTGACCCCCTAACCCCTGTTCCTCCATCTTCCCTATCCCCTACTCGTTCACCCTGTCCACTGCCTTGCCCTTCCCCTCCCTTGCCCTCCACCCCTCCGTCCCGCATACTTCCTCTCCCTACATGTCAACAGCATCCAACTGCAACACCATCGTCCACCGCAGCACGCAGTGAAACCTCTTCGACTGTACCTCCTGCATACATAACTCGCAGTGGCCGTCACGTTCATTTTCCCGATCGTTTAGTTACCCATTTTTTCTAGACTTGTGCATATCCTCCGGCGCCGTATCCCGTCGCCCTCCGGTCTAGAAGGGGGTACTGTGGTGAGGTACCTGACTAATTTACCTTTGACAATTTGGTCCCTTTTTCTTTGACCGCATTGCTTGTTTGCATGTGACGTAAAACGACACAACTGTACAACCCGCCTTGCTAGCGTGCTCTGCAGTGGTATTCTGTTGTCAGTTTTCTTAACTTTCAAAAACCTCTATATTATTCACTGCTCCGATTTACTTGCTGCATTTAAGGCTAGGGGCTCGTGAGACATAACTCGTTAGTTCGTGAGTACATTACAATTTACAAAAAGCCTGTTGTCCAGTCGATTGTGATCGGTGTTATAAATTATGAGAGATAAAATCGCACCGATCAGGTCAAAGAATGTGCTCGTCCTATCGTGTTTACAGCGAAGGCTAAACGGAAAGAGCCCGTTCCTAACCTGATCGATGGACGTCCCTCTTTCGTAACATACAGACATGTTTCAACAATGTCAAAGGGACGCGCAGCCATCGCGTCGCACAATTCAATTACCCCGTTGTGTCTTGGGTCTCAGTCTAGAGTCTCGCCAACAGTCGCCTAGTGGCTGGTGGTGTAGACGGAATATCATTACCGACATGGACAAGAAAACTGTGATGGCTTTTCCTGGCTTATTAGCCGTTATTAACAATCCATGCTCAACTTTAAAGACCTAAATGGTCAATGAAGTCTCTTTTATGTTTCTCAGTGAGACTATTCTGCATGCTTATGTTGGGTCGTTGAATAGAATTGTACTAACCTATTTATTATATTTGCCTATATATTTCTACTTTCAGTCCTCGCAGACTCCAATTCCTCGAAGCACTATACAATTTTTCCATTGATATTTTTACGGTGTCTATCTATGTAAACGCTTCTAATTTCTGCCTTCGACATTCGCCCTCCTCGGAATCCCCGGCAACCATAAATTTCGAAAAAATGCCTCGAAAACCACAATCCCATTTCTTTATTTAAAAATGCGTCTTAACTGGGGAAGCAGTAAAAGCAATGAAAACATTCGCAGCAAAAATGGATTTCGTCCTTATGATAGACAGTCTTATATGTGCAAATTATTTTACGGGGTTTATTGGTTTCTTTTCATAATCATATCCTGTCATATCTGAGGCTTTGGTAGCATAATTTTGTTAACTTAATAGCTCACTGTGCACTTACGGAGTTCTTGTTCATCATTAAACAATTTACACCAGACCCGTATTCACGTATTGAATCTCCATTCGCTTCCTGACGGATTTTCTCACTTGTTTTGTTTTCGTCAGTTTGCTTGCGTAAAAGAATGTTAAAAAAGTTCTGTTTAACAATTTCTATCTACAGTTTCTTTACAAAGTTTACCATTTTTAGTCATTGAAATTTTAGGCCAAAGCAAAGAATAGTCTTCGACCTCCATCAATCTTTTCTTGCAACCAAAGCTTCAAAGTTGGCAGGCATGTTTAGCTGTAGAGGATGATAGTACAAGTGATGCCTAAGACGGGCTGAATGTGAACTCCCATGTTTTTTCCGATCTCAATCCGCATTCGGTGTCCCTTACTTTTTGCACATCCTAGCATATTTTACTCATTGTACACCCAAACTACAATAAGTAGGTCACCTGCACACAAATCTGGCGCCGTTTTAAAGGAGGTCAAGCCTAACAAATTCACCGGCGGGTTGTAATGTCAATAATTAAAGATTTTGGCAGTTATCGCTTGAGAGTTTCTAGTGTTTCCTGTTTCATATACACGTTTTATCCGCTGCTTGTAGGGGCTGAAAGCTTTGGAATGACACTTCTTAGTAAAGTGCATGTCTTTCTAAGCCACTCAGCAGTGTTTTGGAAAACAAAAAATGACTCTTTCAAAATCAAAGACGTATGCATCCCCGACGGCCACGATGGAGAACGGGCGAATGTCCTTGGAAGGAGAATTGTCGGCAAACCAGTTGTGTACTGGCAGAAAAAAACTGTGCCGGCTTCATCCGACCGTCTTTGAACACTTGGATTGAATGACACTTCAAACGTTTGGAGAATGGATGTTGCAGGCTTTGTCGAAATACAACACGCATGGCCGCTTCACTATAGCTACCGTTAGCGCAGCACAAAAACGCCATGAATATAAACAAAGTCTTTTCTATCGTACGGTCATAAATAATGGTGGAGCTATGTCAAAATAACCAAAATGGGTATCTAAATGCCTCAGTAATCAGTTCTGTTTTATTCATTCTCCAGTTTCTGTTGCTTTTATATCTACTGGGCAGGGTTAAACTGAGAAGATAAAAAACATTTCCAAACCTAGATACAATGATAAATGCTACGTAAATCAGGATATCAGCCTTTATAAGCAGCGAGAAATGCCGTCCAGATGTCTGCAACATTTAAAAGTCAACGCAAATTTGCGGAAGAAAGTTGCATTTTAAATCGTTAATACTTACTCAACAGCACAACCATATAAACTGAACCCTTAAATTAATTATATCATATCTTTCGTCTGGTTTTTTCATGGCTTTGGTGTTTTTTGTCACTCTCAAATTTTAGGGTTTTTTTACTTTCCATCGACTTTCTTCCATGCCTTTAATGCATTCGTTAGTTTTGCTTTGTAACTGCAAGGGCGGGAAAATGTATTCGTAGAATTCTAAGGACCGTCGACAATATCCATATTTGTCCCGAAATAGACCGATGAACACTACTCACAACGCCCTCTACTCTGCTGCCTTAGCTGCATGCAAAAAAGCCCCTAGATTGCCGTTAAAAAGAAAAAAAATAACGGCTTAAAATGCAGTACCTTTTTAACCATCTTCAGGTGGTGGGTGTGGTTGTCTAAAATTCGGCGCAGTTAGGTGAAAATTGCAATGCAGACGTACCCGAAACTCCCCGTTTGGCAGATACTGGCGGCCACAAAAGCTATCAGGCCTCGCGCTGTAATGTGGGGCGATAATTGCCGAATTTTAATGTCGAAAGGGAAAACGCCCATAAATGGCCGAGTGGGGCGGTTGGTAGGGCGGATGTTTTGATAATTGTGCTGCACTAGATTCAACTAATTACTTGACTTGCTGGAAGTCATGTAAGGTTCTGATAAGGGGAACAGTTTTCTTCTGTGTCCTTCACAAAAATATCTCATAAAGTGCTTCACGACTCTCCGAGAACGCTTTTCTACTCGTGGGACAGACAGCAAAGCCATTTTAAATTTGTGAAAATTCCTACTGAAGAAATCAAAAGACAATTTGGCGAGCATACGTAAGCTTTCGATAAATTCTCATCAGGCCTAAACATTAATGTTGTTTTCAAAGTGATTAAAAGGAAAATTTTGGCAAGTAGAAGTTATTCCGTAGCCGTGTATATTTATTACTTCACCTGCTCCTGTGGGGCGGAATACATTGGTCGCGCGAGCCGGAATTTGTCCACAAAAGTAAGGGAACACCTTCCAGCATGGTTAGAAAAAGACTGAATAAAAAACGCCAATAGCTCTATCTTCGCCCAACTGGTAGACACAGATCATTGTGCAGTTGCCGGACAGGCCTTCCAATTGATTTACAAGGTCCCTTCCAGCTATCCAAAGTCACTTGGACAGCGTCTGTTGGCAGCAGCAAAGGCGGCTGCAATCAGGCTATACAAACCAGTCCTATGCGCACAAAAAACTTCGTACAGGCCCCCCAGCTACCACGGACCAAAGCCACCCTGCAACCCACCTGCGTATAATTACCCGTCCCAGTGCACCCCGTCCCCTTCTCCCCCCTGACACTGACGAAAATCTTGCTTTTCCCCTCAAGCACCCATATCCTGCCCCCAAACCCCAACTACGGAATAACGTCTGCTTACCTGAATTTTCCTTTTAATCATTTGGACAGCGATATAAATGCATTAGCCTGATAAACATCTATTGAAAGCTTACGTATGTTGGCCATATTGTCTTTAGAAAGGCCGTTAATTAGAAAAATTAACGAAACGACATCAGATGCAACTGCGCAAACAATATTGTATACTCGCTCCACTGTCTGGCGGATGAGATGTAAGGTTTCCACTTGATTAGCTGCCTTGGCGAAAGCCAAGCTAACGCCGCTCGATAAACACCTGATGCCCCATGGCGTAGATGAAGGAGCAATGATCTGCGCACGAATTACTTCACAGTTAGTCAATAACTCGTTTAAAGTGAACAGGACATGCAATCTCCTCACGGGCTGCTTTGGCCTTACACACCTCCTTAAAAGTCTTTGGCAAAGCACCACAATAAAGTCTCAATTACGGCAGCTCCCGCATCTCCCTAATTGACTAATAGACCTACTACACAAAAAGCGCATACTTAGCGCCCACGCGACCGCATGCTTTTCGTCTACAGTGATCATGAAATCCGCTTTGCCGGTGTCGATACGGCGGCCGAAAGGTCACACGAAAAAATCATGCACATCTCATGTAGTTGGAATGTGCCCTTTGTTTGGCGTATCTTAGGACGCAGATGCGCTGAACCAACGCCGTTTTTGGGAAAGCGCACCCATAGCAAATGTTGACAAGGGGGACATTGTGGCTGATCCAGTTGCAGGTTTACGCCGTCCCCCTCTCCTCTTGTTTGCGATATTTTGCTCAGTCTTCTTGATGAACCATGAGGCGGGATGGTTCGCATAAGTCCGGTTTTTTATCGTGGCATTAACCCACCCTCCCATCCGCTTCCGGTCTTCTTGAGCGTGCCTTGACACCTTATCCAAGTGGCGGAGAAGGAGAGACTGCTGTATATGTATCACAAATTTATTATCACTTTAGACTATCTCACGTGAACGTCATCTTCCATGCTGTAGAGGACACGGCGGACATCGTTGGAAACGACGATCAGACAGTCATCTTGGGGGCAAGAATCTGGAGCCAGGGGGTGTGTGTCTAACGCGTCGGACTTCCGGTTGCCGCAGTCATTGTGCCCCGTGCCATCATCAGCTGGTAGCTTAGTTCAAACAGTCGACTGGCACATGAAGTAGGGAAGAGAGCGAGGCTGACGATGG